ACAGGGCATCTCCTTGCCTAACTCCTGTTGTTATCTCAAACTCCTTGCTTTTCACTCCCCCGACTTAAACTTTTCCTTTTGAGTTTTCCATGCTAATTTGAGTAAGGCTTACGATTTTCTTTGGGACACCCATCTTTAATAGCACCAGTTTGAGTCTTTCTCTGTTTATGCTATCAAAGGCCTGACTATAATCGATACATAAAGTGTGCAAGTCAATGTGAAACTTGGAACATTTTTCTAAGGTTTGCCTCATTATGAATATTTGGTCAATTGTGCTCAATAGTCATTGAGGGTCGTTGGAACAGTAAAAGTTGAAACACAAACTAACCTACTATACAAAAAACAATTTGACCGTTGATTATGAGTCGTGACATTCGCCGGTGGAAAGTAGTCACGGCTTACTAGGCTGTTTGAAGCCAATGACCTGGCTTCCAGTGAGGTATTGTTCCCCACCTATGTTTCTCGTGACTTCTTCAAAGGGTCGTAGAACATCGATTAGCTCTGAACATGTTGTCCATTCTTCTTCAGTCAACACTGGGATATCTTTATTAATCAAAGCAACTGTAGTCTTCACCGAATCTTTTAACTCCACTATTCTCTCAATCATGTAAAACGTTGAGTTCCAACGAGTGGCGACTTCCTGGATAAATTTTTTTGGTTGTAATCCAAGGCCTCTTTGGTTATTACTTAACATTGCAGATCCAGTGGTGCTTCTTTTTAAAAAAGGCCACGACGCTCTTTACACGACTAATTAGGTTCCCCGCAGTTTTAAGTGTGTCTTGAAGATTCAAATTGATTGTGTGGGCGAAGCAACCAAAATGTTTCAATTTTAGATCTTCGCTCAAAGTCTTCACAATATTAGAGGCGTTATCTGAGACGGCGGTTCTAATTTTATCAGCCAAATGAAACTTATCTTTAACGTTTTTAATTTCCGAAGCTAAATTCTCACTTGTATGTGACAGTGGCAATGATGAACATCCAAGGAGAACAGATTTCAATTCAAATTTCTGCCTGATATAATGACAGGTAACTGCTAAGTAGCTTTCATTGTTGACGGAAGTCCATGAATCAGTAGTCAGTGACACGCTCTGGACTGAACTTAGTTCTAGTCTTACTGCATTCATATAGGTTTCATACTCTGCTGGAATCAGAGTGTTTGAAATCAATTTCCTGTTTGGTAGTTTGTAGTTAGGATTAAGACCACCCACAAATTGTTTGAAACCTTTGTCCTCTACTACGGAAAAAGGTTGATAGTCAGTTACAAAAAGATCCAACAAAAGATTATCTAACTTTTTCTTTTGAGTTTCACTCATTTTCCTAGCTTGAGGTAAAAAGCTCTTGATAGTTTGTTGGTTCTGAGAAGATGATTTTTGCGGGTGAAACTGTCAGAGCTACTACCATCAAGATTTTTGACAGGGTTATTTCCATCATTAGAGGTTGAAGGTTTAATTGCAGTGTCAATTACAGGAGAAGAGTTACTCACAGTATTACTTGCAGTAGCTGATGCAGATGCAGAAGGAGTTTTTACTTGTTTTACGTCGGGTAAATGAATTGTAGGGTGTTTCTTTTTTAGATGATTTCTGAGATTCCAAATAGTTGATTTGTGGTTACAAATCTGGCCACAAATGTCACACCTAGCCAACTTATTATTTACGTCCTTAGTCGAAAAATGAGACCACAGATGACTTGTTTTCTGTTTTTTATTAATTTTAATAGCACTAAACCTAACTGTAGATCAAACATAAAACACATACTAACAAATAAAAAACAATAAAAGTAAAATAGTAAATAAACTTTAAATAAAAGTTTAAGTTTAAACACGAAAACTAAAATAAAACACTAATGTAAAATAGTTCGTAATAAGGTTTTATATCAATGTCAGTGAGATCTTTCCGATGTCTGTCGTCTGACTGTCTGTCAAAACAAAACGATTGTTCAATAACAGGGACAGTGCAAACAGGTTGATACTTGAACGCTCCGTGCGTTGTCTACATTCCAAGCGAAGGCGGTGTCATTGCATTTTTAGGAATTAGTTTTCAAATAACAGGATAATCTAGCGCTGCCAGCGCCAGGTGATAATAGTCAACCAAACGAAAAGTAGAAGCTGTCGGTGCGACAGCATTATCGCAACAATATACTCAGACTGTTATTAGAACGCCGCTAGGCGATAACGGTCAAAGAAACGAGAAGTTGAAGTTAACGGAGGGACAGCGTTATCGCAGCAATAACTGCTCAGACTATTATTGGCGAAATTTGGTTCGTTCAGTGCCGGCCTCAGGATAACAGGGTTACAACGGCAAATAAACGAGAAGTTGAAGTTAACGGAGGGACAGCGTTATCGCAGCAATAACTGCTCAGACTATTATTGGCGAAATTTGGTTCGTTCAGTGCTGGCCTCAGGATAACAGGGTTACAACGGCAACGTAGCAGCTGGCGTTAGCATATCCACTGAAACCGTTATTCAGATTACAGGGTTCTGGCAGTAACCTAATACCACGATAACAGTTATTTGTTGATAACCCTGTTATTTTGACTAATACGTTATATTAAGCCCATCTCTAGTTTGTAGTTCTGAATGATACTGTTATATTATTTGTTTTTATATTTGAACATATAACCCGATCTGCTTCAACAACAAATTGACAGACTGGCTGCTAGCCAAGAACTTTTTACACTGCAATAGATCTTACCTGAGCTCTAACCGCTGTCAGCTCTGCTGTAACTGCTGTCAGCTCTGCTCTAACTGCTGTTAGCTCTGCTCTAGTCTGTGTGAGCTCAGCTCTAAACTCTTGACAGCTCAGCTCTAACTTCTATTAGCTCTGCTCTAGCCTGTATGAGCTCAGCTCTAAACTCTTGACAGCTCAGCTCTAACTTCTATTAGCTCTGCTCTAGCCTGTGTTGGAGGAGGTTCTAGGAGGTTCCTCATCGTGGAGTCTGAGCTGCTGCTTAAATCTGGAACATTTTTTTACAAAGACTGTTAACCTAATTAAATTATTCAACTGTTGTAAAATCAATATTGGGAAGTAATCGTTTAACGAATCATAAATTCTATGTAACCCAAACAGTTAACTATCTTCTATCACGATGATTATTTAGGTTAGCATTTTACAATATTCAATGTTATCCAATAAATTGAATAAAATACAATAGCTTTTTGTAGCTGTATTTATCTGCTGGTTTGCAGTACAAATGAAAAAAAAAACTAATGAGATTCATAAGAACTCCTATCTGGGTCAGGTATAAAGTGAATCTGGTGGCGGCAAACCTCACTGACTGAACAAAATTCCAATTTTTTGGGTTCAAACAAGTTAACCCATTGGGGTACCGTCAGATGGGGCTACTTTGTAACAAAAAATTTGAATTTTTTACATTACAAGAATAGGTACCTTAAGTACAAAATTAATAACTCTTGAGCCAAATTATGTCCACATGTTTAACCTTCATATTAAGCATGTAGAAAAAAATTTACATGCTTTCATTAAAAAAATAAAAATAAATAAAATATGGCTGTTCAAAGTAGCCCCGCAGATGGGACTTCTATGAACAAAATGTTTAAATGAATATATCTTGTTCACTGTTAAACCTAGGGGCTTCTTTATAACACAATTTGAAAGCTGGGGTTTCAATGAACAAGTACATATAAAAATTATTTTAAAATATTACCAACTTATCTTTTTACATAAAAATAAAAGAAACAACTTACCGGAAAAATCGGAGTTTACTTCTCCATGAATATAATTGATTTTGACTGTCATTTATGACTGGTGATGTCATATATTCCCATAAACTAAATGTTTGAATGTACTCTTAAGTCAGAAAAAAATTTATAAAGTTCATAAATCACTCGAAGCGTCTTTAAAAATATGACAAAAAACACACTTGAAACGGCAATCTTCGCTGAATTAAAAACTAAAGAATCTCTTATTAACTAAACAATATGTACAGTTTTTTTCTTCTTTTTTGTTTGGTAGGTTGTTTAAATAATATTGTAACCACTCAGGTCCATACTGAATGTTAATATCCCAGAACCTCTGGAAGAAACCATCGTTGGTTCCGGGAGTACTTTGACAATATCAGGGTATGGAACGATGTCGTGATCATCTTTTGGGGGCCAGATAAATTTATTATTTCCCTGGTTTCTCACAAATTTGATCTCACACCCCCTTTCATAACTGTAGATTACTTGGCCAATGAAATAGTGGAAAATATCCCGTTTAGAGGCATACTTTACAATGACCCATGATCCAGGGGTCGGCTCACTGGTACCGGTAGTGTCTTTTGTAGATGATTGTTCGCTGCTACCAGGCATGCTGTCTTCAGGTGCTGGGAATGAATGGATTTTCTCATTAGTTGACAACTCATTTATTCCTATGTCCTCATCTTCCAAATCGGAAAAGCCAAGACTAGCATTCATTACGGAATCATCATCATCTTCAACACTGGTCAAATCGTCAGTTGAATCACTCGAGTCCTCCCAGTTACGTTTTCTTTTGATGTTTTTCATCTTCTTAGTTTTATCTGTCTTCTTTTTTTCTTTCTTGGATCCCAGGTTTCCTTTTTTATCTCTTTCTTTAGATTTCCTTTCTTTTCTTTCATTTTTTTATTACTTTTTGAAGTTTTCTTCGTTGAGATTTCCAATGATTGCTTTGAACTGTTAGTACCAACATCAACACCAGTTGGGGGGGCACTAGGATCGTCAGGGTTGTCCCCGATTTCGTCCAAACTCTTTCCTCTTTCCTGGTGTGACGTTGATTTTAGATCTTTTCCCTTTTCTTCCGGGGTTTTCTTTGAGCGAAGCTCTTGCAGAATGCCTAGAACTGCTGCACCAATCTGGCTAGACATTAGAGATTCTTTCCTTGCCTTTTCTTCTTCACTGTCTTTTTGATTTGCCAATGATTTTTTTGGAAGTCTTTTTATCACCTGTTCTTTATCAAAAGGTCTGATTCCTGTAGCTACAAAACCTGATTTTATGTTTTTGCTAATTTTTTCTTTCATATTGTTCAGCACTTATTAAGAATACTTGGGAACTCGTCTTTGGACAGAGTTGGGCGTTTTCGACCAGGTCCCAGTTTCCATGACTCCAAGGCCTTCCGCCACTCCTTTTTCAGGGGGCCGTAAACACCCACATCCAATGGCTGTGTAAGGTGGGTTGTATTTGGTGGCAAACAAATAAATGAGATGTTGAGCTCATTGCATTTTTTTATTATTTCTCCAGAAAAATGGCTAGAGAGATTGTCCCCTATTAACATTTTTTTGCCATCTCGCTTTTTAGCCCACGGAACGACAATCGTATGGAACCAATCGAAGAAACAGCACTCATCGAACCACCCAGACTTTGTTCTGTTGTATCTAGTTCCCGGTGGCCCTCCTAAGGTCCAAGAGGACCACATTCCCTCTGCTTTGTTTACCACATACGGAGGTAATAGTTGCCCATCATCGCTGCACGCAAACATAACAGAGGTTGCACTCTTGGTAAAGTTCATTACCCTCTCGGATCTTTTCAAGCTGCGTTTAAATATCATTTTTTTGCTTTTTGGGTCGTCCACCATATTAGTCTCGTCATAATTTAATATATTACCAGGTGGTATTACTTGCACTTCACTTGCTTGCAAATGGTTGAAGTAGTTTGTTAAATCCTCTTCATTTGTAGTTGCTCTAGCGTACTTAATGTTTTGACACATTCGCTGGCTTAGAATGGCTTGATGACGTTTAAGAAAGCTGCGTGACCAGTCACGTCCAGGGGTATTATCTTTGAAGGTAGGCACACACCTTCCATTTGAGTCTAAATAACTCTTCGCTAGCTTTCTTAGACCAAATGAATCAATTGGGAATCCCCATTCTGATATTAGGCAAATGTAGTCAGCAAATATTGCCTCTTCGAGGGCAGTAAATACTGTAGGATGACCTGGTTTGAAAATTGGGATTGTACTGGGAGAAGAGGCAATGGAAGTGATACTTCGAGGAGTTAATGGCAGTGATGTCGCTCCGATACCGCTACTAGTACTGGTGCTCGTAGAGGGTGTAGCATCACTAGTGGACGGCACTGCCACACTTATAGGACCACAATCAGTTTGTGTATTGCTGGTAGACTCATCTTCCATTTCTGAAGCTTGAGGTTCGTTAATTTGTTTTTGCATTTGAAACACTTTGATATGTTGAGCCAAACAACCCAAAGAAATATTGTACTTTTTGGAAGAAGCTTCGCTGTAAGATATTTTCTTATTTAGTATTTCACGGCAGGCTTCAGATAACCCTTCTGTGGAAAAGTTACGGTACTTTCGAGCACCCACTTTGCGTTTGTAGGTACGAACCATTGTTTTTATTTTTCAAGCACAGTCTAAATAAAAAAAACACTAAAAGCAGGTCTACAAGTTAAAAAGCACTACGGTTTCACTAAAAAAACTGTTTTCTAAATGCTTATGGTCACTAAAAAGCATTACTATAAGCCAACTCTTCTTAAAAAAATTTGACACTAGTTTTCTACTTCAAATACAACCTGAAACAAAAAAAAGAACAAGTTAAAACATAAAATTGGCTAATTTTTTAAATTTGTTCGATGTAGCCCCTACGTTCAAAGTAGCCCCATTTTTTCCTCAAAAAGGTAAAAAAATAAGATTTTTTTTAACAACTTTTTACTGAAAATATGTATGGGTAAATGAGAACAATTTTATCCCAATAAATCAAGGTATCATAAAAAAAATATTAGAGGACCCAAATTAATTGGTTTTTTGTCTACACGAAAGAGTTTGACCGGGTTCGGTTTTTTACCGAAAAACGTGTCTCAGTTTTTATTTTTGTATTTTTTCCTACTCATATAATACTAAACTTATTGTTATTTTCTTAAAGTAGATGAACCAGGGAATTAGGAAATATATAGAATAAGGGGATTATTATGTATTTAGTGGGTGTTACCCACAACTAAAACATTTTTTTACTTTTTGTTCAAAGTAACCCCACAGTTCAAAGTAACCCCATCTGACGGTAGTAGTTTTTTTAATGAGCGCAGACCCTCAGGCAGGTTTACAAATTTTGTATACTTTTGCTAAATATGACATAAAAACTTTATTTATTGAGATAAATCAATAATTCTTTTTGTATTTTGTGTATTAACACGTTGAATGCTCAAAAAATAAGTATATACCATCACCGGTGGCTAAAAATATTTTATGTCAAAATCACTTACCAAATGGTGTTGTGAGTCTGGTTGGGGGTCGCTGTCATGAAAAAAACCATTTTTCTGGTTGTCCCGTGACGTCATCACCTCCGCCGCTTTTTGTCGGCGTGTGCCACCTGGGTGCGACGCTCCGGAGAAATTGCAGAATAATCCGGATTTCTTGGCATAGTTTGTCAGTTTATGTATCAAAATCACTATATTTTTCACTTTTTCACAGTTTTCGGCCGTCCTATGACGTCATCACTTCCGCCGCTTTTTGTCGGCGTGCGCTACCCGGGTGTGACGCTCCAGAGAAATTGCACAATAATCCGGATTTCTTCGCATAGTTTGTCAGTTTATCCATAAACATCACTATTTTTTCACTTTTTCACTTTTTTTATTTTTTTTTATTTTCACAATGTTTTTTTTTTTATTTTTTTTCTCACTATTACTAAATATTTACAAATAATTACAGAGTCTCTGTTTTGACTTTACATGGAGTCGTGGTACTTGTCAAAGCACCGAATAGGGCATAAGCCTGGTTCTTCAGGACAAGCTGGGCAGAAATACACTACATCCGATCTCTTGCCCTCCTTAGAACATACCCTGCATCGTTTCTTTTTGCGTTTTCCAGCATCGTCAAGCGGTACCTTCGATAGTATGTGGTGCTGTCTCTTCTTGGTGCTGATACTAGCTGGCGATTCGATACTGGCCGGTAGAAGGGATTTGATGACCAAGTGCCTGAAATCATACAGCTTCATTTTGTTGTCAGGTTAAGTGTAAGAGAGGGCCATGTGGCCCTAACTTTGCCTGGTAAAATAAAGAATTTTTCATTTCATTTCATTCATTTCATTTCATTTCATTTCATTTCATTTCAATGTACGCAAGGTTATACATTGACCAGGCGTTCACCATCATCACTTGCAATACATGCACGAACACCTTCTTGTACCAGCGTATTGTCTTTCGTTCGCACGGATGGTACGACATCATCTGGTCTGATCTGTCAACTCCTTTCATGTGTCCGGTATACTGTATAACGGGTACCGGCTTCTCCCGTAGTTCACCACGCTTGTTCCTGCTGAAGCCCATAGTGTTCTCAAATTCTGTTCTCAGGTAAAGAACGTTTCTCTTATCCTTCCACTTGGCTACGAGAACACCTTCTGCGTATCTCGCTACGGTTTCTCCTTTTTTCAGTCTAGCCGAGGTTACCTCCTGAGGTAAGTACTTCCGGTTTTGGCGCAACGTACCAGTCACGTACGTTTGCATGGACAACAATTTGGCAGCTAACGGGAACCCATTGTAAAAATTATCCATGTACAGGGAATGGCCCTTCTGTAAAAAGGGGGTCATCAGTTGCATGACAACTTTTGATGCGTGTCCTGGCCCACTAGTACTGTCACCCTTGCCTGCATAGATCTTCATTTTGACAGTAAGGCCATGAGGTTCATTGAGGCAGTAAAACTTGATACCGTACTTGTGACGTTTATTTTTTATGTACTGCCGGAACACAAGTCGTCCCCGCCACAGTACCATTGCCTCATCAATTGTTAGTTCTCGACAGGGGTAGTACAACTTTGCCATTTGATTATTGAAATAGTCAATAACATCTTGAACTTTAGCTAGACGGTTGTCTGACTCCTCGTCTCTATTGGTGCTGAAATGTAGGCATCGAAAGATTATCATAAATCTATCCCTACTCATGTACTTGCGGAAGAAAGATATGTTATACATGTCGTCAGTTCGCCAATAATCTTTCAGACGGCTTAGCCTAATATGGCCAGTGTGATACAATAAGCCAAAGAACACCTTCAATTCAGGCACAGTTAGATCTTTCCATCTGTGAATACGTGACTGTGGCATAGTAGTATTGCCGCAAAAAAAATCAATGGCATACTTGTTCGTTTCGCGAACAATCATTTCTAAAAACACATCATCCAGTAACATTGAAAAGAATTCAGCTGGTTGATTTACATTAGGTACAGGCACGCGAAAACCTTTGTTACCAGTGAAAGGGATATGTTGCAAACCTGCAGTTTGGGGGAGCCATGTGGGTTGGTTGGCAGCAGTGATGTCTTCCTCGACGTCAAGGTCAACCTCACTTTCCGCGGAACTCTCATCGCCACTTGTTGCTATGTCCTCCTCACTCAAAAGCTCATCTTCATGAAACGCACTAGCCATTATTGTACAACACAAATCACCTAAGGGCACATAATAACTCACTATGACGTAATACTAACGATAATAACAAAAAAGTCACGGAATCCGGGAACGGCACTAACTGGGCTAAGGTTGGTACGTACGCAGGTGGCTAACGCAATAGCACCCTACTCCGACCACGGCTAAGCTCACACTGACTCAATGTATTTTAGGTTGTCTTGATGCCGACTATTGTCGGCGCGCGCCACTTGGGAGCGCTGGCGACGCCGACTAAAGTCGGCGCGCGCGGTCAACGTGTTAAAGTCTGTTCTATCAAAAACAATAATATTAATGATGAAATTCCATTTACGTATTTTTTTATGCGGTTGAATTAAAAAAAATAATTGCAAAAAATATTATTTTTGAAAGCATGTATATATTTTTTTTTTAATCTATGTAAACCAGCTATATTATATATTTTCAAAAACTACAGAATAAACTCTACATAGAAATACAATTTTATTAGTATCTGACCAAAAATAAAGTTACTAGACAAAATATTCGGATTACATACCTTCAATTTTTACGAGCGCAAGGCCTCAGGCAGGAGTAAATGTAACAAATTTTGTAGACTTTTGCTAAATGACATAAAAACTTTATTTAGGCTATAGAGATAAATTTATAATTCCTTTTGTATTTTGTACATAAAAGTCTGTACAAACATAAAAATATTATTTTTAGTGAAATTCCGTAAAAAAAATTTTATGTGGTTGAATTTTTAAACATTTTTTACAAAAAATGTTAATTTTGAAAGCAAGTACATATTCTTTTTTAAATCTGTACATAAACCTGCTAAATGACATATTTTCTGAAACTACAGAATAAACTCTACATAGAAATAAAATCTTATTAGTCTTTGAATAAAAATAAAATAATAATACAAAATATTCGGACTACTTACTTTTTGAAGACATTTGTTGCTACGGATACAGTTTGCTCTCTTCAAGATGGATAATATTCACAATATATTACAGTCACACTAATTAAATTCAACTATTTACATTACACTACTTAAATTCAACTATTTACATTACACTAATTCAATTCAACTATTTACATCAGCCTACTAGGCCTATTTACATTTTGCTTTGCTACTTGTTAGAAGTTTAGTTTAGTGTGGTACTCCCGGAAACAATTGTCTAGGTGCAGGGGCACATCACACCTGTCACACATCCATGTGGTCTCAGAGCGTATTTTATTTGCAGTGCACACTTTGCATTTCCTTGTTGAGTTAGTCTTGTTGGCGGTAGCTGGGATTCTTGCTGGGAAATGTGCCCATTGTTTTGACTGCAAACGCAAAGGTGAGGGTGCATTTGGGGCTCGCCCTGGACTGCACCGATTCGGAAGCACTGATGTTTCCGAAATTTGTTCGACAATATTCAAACGAAAATCAGAGAAGTGCATGTGGTCAATCTTTTAAACTTTCTTAAAAATACAGAATGCGTTGAAGAGGGTCATAGTCCAGGACCTGACTAGGGTTCTGTGTGCATGTCGTGTATAGAGAATTTTGCTTTTGCATTTCAATATAGGTGTCTTAGGAAGTGTTTTCCACTCGGGTGTCAAGTTCGTACCTGGTACGTTTTCGAGCTATGACGTCATCAAGATGGCGGCTCGGCAATTTTTAAATGCGTATATTTCGCAAACCGTTTAACGGATCGGGATGATTCTTTTTTTGTTTGAAAGAGATTTTTACAAACTATCTTTTTTGTATTTACACATTTGTTGTAAACTTAATATTCACCGCACAAT